TCCCAAGCACTGGGATTACAGGAGTGTGCCACCACGCCCAGTCTCAAGCACTGTCTCAGCACGTCCCACAGGCAGGGCTGGCATGGCACACCTGGAATCGAACACCAGTACACTCTGCCTAAGCAGGCGCTTTAGTCTGCTGAGCTATCAGGCCAGCCACAGTGCTGTGTGGCACTGTGTACCACAGTACCCTGCTCCAGACACCATCTAAGCATGTTTGACTAGCTAACGGGGTGGTAGGTACTAATAACATCTTACAAATGAGGAAACTGTGTGTCTAGGAAAGTTTCATACCTTGCTTGGCCATCCATTGAGTGGATGAGTCGGGATTCGATCTCAGGTCACTTGACCAGGAGACAGAGCCTCTTCATTATGTAATTCAGGGGGACACCATTCCACCATAGTCTACATGAACAGTGTGACCTGTTGTCAGGGAGGGATGGTACCAACCTATGCAGCCACACACAGCAGCCCTGCATGCAGACCTATTCTTGTCTACCCACTCATCCCCATGTTCACCAGGCCAGACTATAAGGATGATGGTATGGTGGAGAGCTCCAGGAACAAAGATGGCTTTGTGGAGGAGGCAGAGTGAGAGCTGAGGTCCCAGAATTTGGCAGACTTCTAAGTGAGAAGAGGAAAGATGTTATAAAAAGAAGGAAGAATGCTAGAAAATGGACTGGGCCTGGTTGGTTAGGGAACAGGCTGATTTATGCAGAATCTGTTCTGAGAACTCTAGTTGTTCTCTACTGCAGATGCCTGTAGGTGTTGGGCCCTCTGCCTCCGCCTCCCTCTCCTCCCTGGCACAAAGGGATTTGCACAGCCTTTGCACCGAGAGACATCACCAACACTTTCACACTTTTTAAGTTTGAGACAAGATCTCAATAATTTGCCCAGTCTGGGCCCATACTTGTGGTCCTCCTGCCTTGGCCTCCCAGAGTGCTGGGACTGTAGGTGTGCACCACAATGCCTGGCAGCAATGTGCCCTATTTTGTATCACTAGTTTCCTGCAAGGTGAGTAATAGTATTTTCAGGCTGTAAACGACACAAAGCCTCTCAGAGGTAACTGCCCCAGTGAGCACCATCCCTGACAGCATTCTTAGGTCCATTTGTGTCTCCCAGAGCAAAAGCAGGCTTCCTTCTCAGGTTTGGAAAAAGTTGGTTTCCATATGTAGGGGAAGATGAGTCTAGCAAGTCTCCAATTCTAGTTGGCAACCATCCTGACTTGGTTTTCTGTTTCTGATTTTTTTGAGACAAAGTCTTGCTATATAGTTCAGGCTGGCCTTGAATTCACCTTTATCCTCCTGCCTCAGCCTTCCAAGTGCTGGGATAATAGGCAGGTGCCACCACATATTGATCCTATCCCTAGTTTTGGAGGAAAACACACCTATCCTGGTTCTACAAAGTATCCAACATGCATAGGCCTGGATGCTTGTGACTACCTTTGAGAAATACCAGGGTTGGGGGGAGCTGGAAGCTGAAACCCTCATCCAGAAGGAGCCCCATTACACACCTATAATATTCAACAACGGAACTGAAAAAAAAATTGGGGTATAACTATGAATGTCCATTTTGTATCTGTGTATTCAAAGTGGTTGGGATAGATATATAGTTGCATTCTCTTAATGAATAGAATGATTTTTTCTAATGGTGTTTGTAAGTAGGATCACAAGTCTGCATCTTGTACAGCAATTAACCACTAAGAAGAATATATGCAGTGTATTATTTGTTGAAACTGTACTTTCGATTTGATTTGAAACTGTCTCATTGCTATATGTTTATCAATAAAACTTTGAAAACAAACAAACAAACAAACAAACAAACAAAAAAAAAAAAAAAACAGAAGGAGCCCCAACCCTGGCTGTGCCTGTGCACTCTGGGAGATAGGTGCCCTAGATTGCCCCAGGTGCCAATGGAGAAGGAGCCAAAGGCCAGAAGTTTACAAAGCCTGGTCCCTGAGTAGTTCTTGACCTGGCCTGGCTTGGGGCTCAGGACTCAGCGGCTTGGTGCTCACTTCTGCTCTGTCTCTTCATCCATCCAGCTACTCCATCTGCTCATCTGCATTTCCTCACTCATGCTTTTGTTCCCTCCTTCAGTGATGCTGTCACCGAGCTGGAGCCACAGAAGCTGCAGAGGTCTGGAAGGGAATTCTGGACAGATCACACTGGCCATAGGCGCTGTAACGGGAGATAGGGACTTCCCAGCAGCTTCAGGCCCAGAGGGCTCGGGTGGAAAGGATGCTGCCAGGTACAAATGACTTTCCAGAGAAAGGAACTGAGGAGGTGTGAACAGATGCCTGCTGAGGGAGGCTGTGAGAGCTGTGTGTGTGTGTGTGTGTGTGTGTGTGTGTGTGTGTGTGCCAGAGGGTGGTGGTGGAGCTGGAGAAGATGCTGGAAAGTAGGCTGGGGAAACTTTGAGGGGGCGCAGGAAGGGAGCTTTACTCTCCAAGTCAGTGGTTCTCAGTGTGGTGCTTAGAGCAGCAGCATCACCTTCTTCTGTGCAGATGCTGGTCCTCAGGCCCCCTCTGAACATCACACGGGCTCTGTTTCAGACCTCACCACAGACGGCTGGGGCTGGAAGACTGCTGGAGCCAAGGCCTGAGCCCGGGAGTTTCAGACCAGCTTGGACAATTTCATGAAATGTAAAAAAAAAAAAAAGTAACAACAACAAAAAACAAGATAACAAATATTTTTGTTGCAATATATATATACCCTCCAGTTGATTCCTAGTGCACTTTTAAGGTTTAAGAATCACTTTCCTGTTTATAATCATCATCTACACAAACTGGGATAAAGCTAGCTATCATAATAAATGAACCTTCAAAATGTAAAAAAAAAAAAAGAATCACTTTCCAGGGTCATGGGGAGCAGAGGGGGACTGGGAACAGGACAGTGCCATTTAAGAGCATATAATCAAAGATAATGTACAGTGGCTTTCATAAAACACAAAGCTTACTAAGTTTAATGGAGCTGTGCTCATTAAGCACCAGACGTAGTGCTATGCTTCTTGGAAGCCAAGGCAAAAATGGAAAGAAAATAATAAATTGGCCTTAGAATGATTCTGCTTGCCCAGCACTCTTACTTACTTTGGGCAAGAACATTTGATATTAGAGGAAAAGGCATCTCCCAGTTTTCCTGGAAAAAAAAAATCCAATAATTTCTCCTGTGAGAACTGGAGTCATGCTCTGAAAATATTTCCCCTAAGCTTGATATCAAATGGAGATTGTGCCAGGCATAGTGGCGCATGCCTGTAATCCAAGCACTGAAGAAGCTGAAGCAGGAGGATTTCTGGGAGTTCGAGGCCACCTTGGGCTACATAGCAAGTACAAGGCTGGCCTTAACTATATAGCAAGACCCTGTCTCAAAAAATAATAAACAAGAGGATGATTTCTTATTATAACTTTGGAAGAAAGCTCAGAACGTGTTGCTAGAACATAGTTCTGGGAGGGTGAGTCTGATAGGATTCAACTAGGATGATACCAATGACTTACTTGCATTAACTCATTTGCCACTGCCATAGTACTGTCAGAATAAGCAGTAGTAGTACTTACAGATGAAGAAACCGGGATTCCAAAAGGGGAAGGGCCAGATCAGGTGGTCAAGCTAGGTCTTAAGCTTCAGAGTCCAGTTCTACACATCCTTCTCCAGGCCTACCGGCACTGTCAGTGACATAATTACAGTACAGGCATGTAGGGGGTCAGAGAGAAGACACAGGAGCATTGACTCAGAACAGGCCTGTGTTGGCGAAGAAAGATCAGTGAGATCTGTAAATGTTGAGGAACTTCCAAATCTGGTAAGGGGTGCTACGCCTGACAGAATAACAAATAGGTACCATGAGGCAGCCGGGAACCCCTATCTCTGGAGACTGCCTAGAACTTATGCAAAGCAGCTTTGTCCTAATTTAGGATTGCTTCCCCAAATTGATTCCCAGGAAAGGAATTCTTGGATCAAAAAGCCTGAACATTATTTAAGCCTCTAATGTGCATTGCCAAATTGCTTTCTAACAGGTCTTCCGCAGTCATTTCCCCCAGAAACTAGGAGTACTAGTACAAGCCTTTGGTATTACCAATATTTTAAACTCCAAATCTGAAAGGCTATAAATGACCTCTTCTTTTGATTTGTACTTTTTTATTGCTAGTGAGATAGAAAATGTCCAAGGTTTATTGTTTCATTTCTATCCTTTGACCATTTTTGGATTCATAGTCTGTTACGAATTTTATAATTAAAGTATTCATCATCTTTTTTGTTTTTACTTATTTATTGTCTTTTTGAGACAGGTTTTGTTATGGAGTTTAGGCCAGCCTTGAACTAGAAGTGATCCTCCTTCTGCAGCCTCCTAAGTGCTGGGAGGCGCCTAAGCGGTCTTTGAGGAGGCCAGTCCTCCAAGTGATGTCCCACAGGGGGGCCCAGCCCTGGACCTGCATAGGCCCAGCGCTGTGCTCTCCAGGACCCCTGGAAAGTAGGAAGCCAGGAGGCAATCCCATCTGAGTCCCTGCCTCTGGGTTTGCACAGACCTCCGCAGACCCCTGCCCACTCTCCATCCTGGCGGTGCCCGCCCAGTCGCCTGGCCCTTGGGAGCTCCTTTGCCTCCTTCCTTCAGGATCCAGACTTGACTCCTCTTCCCTCTAACCGTGCCGCTGGGCGCCACGGTGCCTGCGGACCGAGGCCACAGCTGACCGCCGGCCCTCCACTCCTCTCACGGTGGGTCTGGCCCTGTCCTTTTCCTACCCCCAATCCAGTTCCCTCGGGGCGCCCCGGAGGGTGGGGACGGGGAAGTGAGTCGGCTCGCACGGTGTGTGTCTCAGAGCTGCGCAGGCCACGGGAAGAAACTGACCGGACTCTGGCAGCGCCAGTGCGAGTTCGAATCCCTCCTGGCCTCCGACCAGCCGCCGCCCTCCCAGCCTTCGCTTTCCCGGCCCGCGCAGTTCCCTCCGCAGTCGGCTCGCCCGCGTCCCGCCGCAGGCCCCGCCCACCCTTCGCAGGTCCCGCCCCGCTGACGTCAGCGCGGAGAGCTAGACTGGACTCCAGAGCCGTGGCGGCAGTCTGCACAGCCCTCGGCCCGCTCGGGCGCTGCAGGTTCGCGGCCTGGCCGGGCGGTGGGTGTGGGGACCCCTGCAGGTGGGAAGCCGGGCGCTGGGCCCTGGCCCTGGCCCTGGGACTGGGCGGGGCCCTTCCTTCCACTACCCGGAGCCGGGCTCCGCCTGTGCGGGCAGCGGGAGTCGAGTGGGGTCAGGCGGGGCCGTTGGCTCAGCCGCTTCGCGAGGGCGAAGGGCGGGCGACCCTGGAAGCCGAGCCGACGGTCAGTGTGCCCGGCTCTCCGCGCAGGCGTAGGGTCCGAGGCGGGCCGCGGTGCCCCTGTAGGTGGGAACCCTGGGGATGCAGTGGTCCGGGTGCTGTGTGTGCTGAGGTCCGGCGCGGAGATGGGGTGGGGGGGGAGGTAGAGGCAGTCAGCAGCGTACTGAGCGTGTTTGGAGTTGGGGATGTAAGAAGTTGGGATTTGGTTTGGAGGAAGGGAAATTCTAAAGGCATGGGGAAGAGGAGCTGGAGGGGAAGGTGCGCAGGAAGCTGGCGGTCTGGCTTAGAGATGTGCTCCGGTCCTCTTGTCTAGGTGTGCCTGGATGCATGTTTTGTCTTTTTCGGTTTTTTGAGACAAGGTCTCAAGCCTGGCCTTGAATTTGTGATCCTCCTGCCTTGGCCTCACTTCCTGGCTGGAATGCGTGCTTTGTAGTGTGAGAGTCTGAGGACTTCAGGTGTGGTGGTGCACACCTGTAATCCCAGCAATGAGGAGGCCCCGGGCAGGAGGATTGTTTCGAGTTCAAGGCCAAAGTGGAAGCCAGCCCCTGTCATAGCCAGACCCTGTCTCAAAAAAATAAAGTCTGTGTGAGAGGCTTTGGATATGGTGAGGGTACCTGGGGAGGGTGTGTGGACAGGTGTACTAACATCTGGGTGTACACAGAAGAGCAGGTGACATGCTGTCTGGATACAAGATGGGTCCTGGAGGTAGGTGTCTGGGTTCAGGGGTGTGGAGGAGGTTAGGGGTGGGTTTCTGCTGTAGGGGTGTGTGTAGAAATTTGAGGGCTCTATCTACTGGGGCTCTAGGTGCCCTTCAAGGCTGCCCCTGGAGTTTACCATCAAGTTTCCTTTTTCAGAGTTTCTGCCCCCGGAGCAGAGTCCCATAGAGGGAGGAATCTCACACCAGGCCCTCTTTCTAGCAGAGGGACAGAGAAGGAGAGACGCTAGACTGCACAGCATGCTGGGCTGTGTCTGGCTTTGCTCTCTGGAAGGGGCTGTGTTATCTGAAAGGGCCCCAGTTGAGCTTCAGGTTGGAAAGACCAGCTGTGAGGACAGCTCCTCCAGGCCTCTGCCCTCAGTATGGTTGGCAGGGACCCCAGCTGGTGTCATTTGGGCACCTATGGTTTCACTTAGGCCCTGCTCCATCTCTGACCTCAGTTTCCCCATTCTCCATCTGATAAGTGGGGGGAGAACTCTCTCCTACAAGATGAGCAAGAGGCCTAAGAATGGGGAAGTCCAGGCAGGATCAGGGTGAGATGAAGCGAGGAGGGAAGACTGGGTGGGACTATTTCTCAGCTGCCAGGACCCAGAGGGGGAGTTGGGAGGGAGAGGCCTGGGGAGCTCCAGCTGTGGCTGTTGTTGCCATGGTAACAGTGAGAAGGAGCTATTTAAAAACGTGGCTGAGATATTGCTGGAAGCCCCGGCAGCCGGAAACCTGATTTCCGAGAGGCCAGGGCAAGGAGGAAAAGGAGGGGGAGAGGAGACACCCCAGCAGTTCCCAGAGTGAGGCCAAGACTTTCCTGGGCCCAGGGACAGGGCATACTTCAGGGCCCTGTACCCCAATAGGCTACTCTAGGGTGTCTTCTGCTAACCTCTGAGAGATCAGGGTTTCCTTGGGTATCTGGATTTGGAAAGGGAGTAACTGTGATGTGAATGTGAATAAAGGAATAAAGAAATGCATGACTTTGTTGAGTAAAAAATTACATTGCCATCATGAAAATTTTTTCTTTAGGCCTAAGAATTTGTGGAAGAAATGTTCTTGAATGAGCACATGACTGGTGAATGAATGAATGTTGAATGATTTTGTTAAATGAATGGATCAAGGGGTGAGTAGGTGCAGGTTGCAAAACTGAACTGGGGATGGGGTTAATATTCAGAGAGAAGGCAGGGCCTGGCTGAATCTCTTCCCTCCATTCCCCTCCAGGAGCCCTGGCTGTGGCCGGGGAGCAGTGGGCCATGCCAGGGGCTGTGGAAGGCCCCAGCTGGAAGCAGGCAGAGGACATTAGGGACATCTATGACTTTCGAGATGTTCTGGGCACGTGAGTGTGAGGGCGGTGGTGGTGGTGGTGGGTGGGTGGAATTGGGGAGAGGCTTATGGGCCTGGAGAGCTGGGGGTGGCCTGCTCAAGGTGGTGCTTCCTCTGGTCAGCTGATCAACACTTCCTCTTTCCTACAGCCTCGGCCTGAATTGGCCTTGCCACAGCCAGACTGACCTCAACTTTTCATTTCTGCTGACAGTGGTTGGGACAGGGGCTGCCCTTGCATGGCCAAATGTTACTATGAAGAGAGGGAAGTAGGGAAAGATGAAAGGGCCACTTATCCAGCTTGTTGGCAGGAGCTGAATTTCCTGGCTCCTGTTTGGAACTGAAGCTGCACACAGCTCTGTTCTTGGTGCTGTGGATCCAGAAACAACTAAAACCTGGTCTCTACCCATCGGGTTGACCCTAGACATGTAGGGAAAGCAAACCACTGCTCCATCGAGCTTGGGGATGAGGGCTGTGCAGAGTCCAGGGACAGCTGCAGCATCCGCCTGGAGAAGCAGGCATTAGAACTGGGACTAAAGGACGAGAAGCGTGTGTGTCCAGAGAGAGAAAGGGCATCCTGACAGAAGGGAAAGAACAGGAAGTCCCGACCTGGGAACAAATTTTGTTCCAAAAGAATTTTCCTAAGTTGGATTTGTTCATAAGCTGACAGAGTCTTACACAGTACACCTGTGAGAGTTCGGATGTCAGGGACTTGCTATATAAGTGAAGGGTCAGAGGCATGGCATGGGTAGGAAGAGGCAAAGAGCCTGCTAGAGCTTAAAATGGAGATGAAGGAGAACAGAGAACATGCAGGGTTTTGAAACCCGTGCTGCCCAGGCTAGATGTTATCCCACGGGCCATAGGAAGCCCTTTCTTTTTTCTGAGACAGGGTCTTGCTATGTAGTTCAGGCTAGCCTCAAACAACCTCTCAGCAACCCTCATGCCTCAGCCTCTCCAGTGCTGGGATTATAAGCATGGCCACCACACCTGGCTATAGGAAGCCATTGACTTTTTTTTGGAACCGAGGGTCAAACTCAGGACCTCGTGCTTGCCAGGCAGGCACTTAAGCCACTGAGCTATCTCTCTGACCCTAGGAAGCCAATTAAAACTTAATGTGGGAAAAAAAAAAAAAGAAAAAAGAAAAAAAAAAAAAAACTTAATGTGGGTCTACAATTCCAGACTGTCAAACTGGCCACTGTGGAGGGCAGGCTGGAAAAGGCCAAAGCTGGAGACCGATGCCGAGGTGACCATAGCTATCCCTGATCTCTGATGATTAACACAAGGAATGCTTTTCTTTATGATGTTTTTTTTTTTTAAAAAAAAAATCAGTGGTGCTGAGAATTGAACCTAAGTGTCCTCACACGCTAAGTAAGCACTCTACTACTGAGATGTCTAAAATACATTTTTAAATTTTGAGCCAGGGTCTTACTAAATTGCCCAGACTGGCTTTGAACTTACAGTCCTTGTTGCTTCATCCTCCCTTGTAGCTGAGATTACAGGCATAGACCCTAACCTGGCTGATTTATGACTTTCTATCACTATGGGAAAGCAAACAAGGGCCAGCCAAATAGCTCAGCAGATTAAAGCACATGCTTAGGCAGAGGTAACAGCCAGGGTTTGATCTCAGATGTGCTGTGCTGGCCCTGCCAGCGATTGAGATGATTGACACTGGGTGTGGTGGTGCCCCAGCTCTCTGGAGGCTGAAAACAGGAGAATCACTA